GCGGAGGTTGTGGTGAGCCGAGATTGCGCCATTGCACTCCAGCCTGGGTAACAAGAGTGAAACTCCATCTCAAAAAAAAAGAATCTAGTATAATATCTAAGCATTGAAATCTAATATCAAATGTTTTGTTGTTATATTGACTTCTATTTATTTTATGTACTATAGAAAAATCCTAAGCTCTTAAGTATACAATTGATATTATTGCATACAATGTGATAGCAAAGGATAATAGCACCGATAGTCAAAATTACTAAGAAAAAGTTCAACGAAGGTCCTTGGACTACGTTAGGTAGCCAGGTGTTTGTGTTCTCACAGAAAAGAGAAACCAAAGAGAAATAAAACATATGAAAGCTGAATTAAAAATTAAGAGTTGGCCAGGCACAGTGGCTTAACACTTTGGGAGGCCAAGGCTAGAGAATCACCTGAGGCCAAGAATTCAAGAGCAGCCTGGGCAATATAGTGAAACACTGTCTCTGCAAAAAATAATAAAAATAAAAAAATAATTAGCTGCGTATCCTGGTGCACACCTGTAGTCTTAGCTACTTGGGTGCTTGGGAAGCTGAGTGGGAAGGTCACTGGAGCCCAGGAGATGGAGGCTGCAATGAGCTATGATTGTGCCATTGCACTCTAGCCTAAGCAACAGAGTGAGACCCTATCTCCAAATAAAATTAAGACTAGGCACAGTGAGTCACTCCTGTAATCCTAGCACTTTGGGAGGCTAAGGTGGGAGGATCACTTGAGGCCAAGAGTTTAAGACTAGCCTGGGCAACATAACAAGATTCTGTACCAAAACAAACAAACAAAAAAATCAGCTGGATCTGGTGGCACACGTCTGTACTCCCAGGTATTCAGGAGGCTGAAGTGGGATGATTGCTTGAGCCCAGGAGTTCGAGGCTGCAGTGAGCTAATTGTACCATTGCATTATAGCTCTGAGTATAGAGCCATACCCTGTCTCAAATAAAAAATAAAAAAGAGTTGAAAATTTATGTCCATATAAAAACCTGCAGATGGAGATATATAGCAGCTCTATTCATAATTGCCAAAACCTGGAAGCAACTAAGACCTCTTTCAGTAGATAAATGGGTAAATAAACTATGTAGTACATCCAGACAATGGAATTTTATTCAGCACTAAGTAGAAATGAATTATCAAGCCATGAAAAAAGTGGAGGAAATTTAAATGTCTATTACTAAGTAAAAGAAGCTGATCTGAAATGAAAAGGCTATATGACATTTGGAAAAAGGCAAAACTATGCAGACTAAGTTAAGATTAGTGGTTGCCAAGAGTTAAAGGGGAGGGAGAGATGACTAGGCAGAGTATAGATTTTAGGGCAGTGAAACTATGCTTCCTGATATTATAATGGTAGATACACAGACACACACACACACACACACACACATATAATGGTAGATATATTTGTCTCCACAAAATGTGCAACACCAAGAGTGAGTTCTAATGTAAACTATGAACTTTGAGTGATTATGATCTGTTAATGTAGGTTTGATCATTTTTAAAAAATACCGCTCTTGTGGGGAATGTTGATAGTTGGGAACTTTGTACATATATGGGGGCAAGGGACATATGAGACCGCTGTACTTTCCACTCAATTTTGCCATGTATGTAAAACTGATCCAAAAATAGTCTTTTGGCCGGTTATGGTGGCTCATGCCTGTAATCCCAGCACTTTGGGAGGCCAAGGCAGGCAGATCACGAGGTCAGGAGATCAAGACCATCTTGGCCAACATGGTGAAACCCTGTCTCTACTAAAAATACAAAAATTAGCTGGGCATGGTGGCACATGCCTGTAATCCCAGCTACTTGGGAGGCTGAAACAGGAGAATTGCTTGAACCAGGGAGTTGGAGGTTGCAGTGAGCCAAGATCATGCCACTGCACTCCAGCCTGGTGACAGAGTAAGACTCTGTAAAAAAAAAAAAAAAAAAAAATGCTCTATTAAAAAAACAGTATTATAACAGAATACAAACCATTGGTAAAACAAGTCAGCAGATTGAAAGAGGTAAAAGTAGGTTGGGCCAACAAGACAGATTACTGTTGATTAATAGAATCAGGTGGTAGCAGCAACAATCAGAATATGGGGATGAAATGGATCCTGTTGCAAGGATGGCTTATCCTCTCATATATTTTAACATTCTCTTTGGACATTTTTTTTCCGTATCAAAGCTGCATGGAGAGATGGGGCCTGAACTATAGGACTGACCTTTAGGCTTGAGGAAATGAATGAGTTTGTAACTTTAATTTAGGGTTGCTGTACATAATGAAAAAGAAAAGATTAGAGGCATGTAGAGTAAAGTAAGGATTCTCCTGCAGCAATTAAGGTATAGGGGAGAGAGAGAAAGAGAAGGATCTAATCTTTCTTTTGCCTCCAAACATAATCTGTGCTCTGACACTTCCTTTGATAACCCTTCAATCTTTATTGTCTCCCTACTGTGTCCCCTATCTTTAACCCATGCTTTGATTATCCTCAATTGGATTAATCATTTTCCCGACATCCTTTGTTCTCAGTTCACTATTTATTGTTTTATTCCAAGATTTATCCATTTTAAGGGCATATTTGTAACAAGCCAAAGCTATATGTATTAATTTTTGACTTTGTCTTCTTCTTCTTTTTTTTTTTTTGCTATAGTGCATGTTTTATCTTTGCTTTCATATTACCCATCCAAAGACTAGAATAAATATTTGTTTAGGACTTCTATTATCCCAGGATATTGTGCCTGAAACTCAAGGATCAACTCAGCATAGATCACTTGCATACAACCTCCTTCCTTAAGAAATGCGTTAAGATTTATAATGTATGGTTAATTTTTCATATTTCTAGAAGTTCAGAAAGCCAATAACATGAAAGAGACAAGTCAAGAAAATAAAGGCAAATATTTGAGGCAGGCTTTATTCATCAACAACAAAATACTGACTAAGGAGAGACGTAAAACCTTAAGGGAAGCACTTAGTATGGCCACAAACACAGTGCCCTCAAGAAAAATATCCCATAAATGTGACTCATTTGGAACAAGCTTGAAAAGTGTTTCAGAACTCATTATTAATAATATAAACTATGTAAGAAAAAAGTCAGTTGATTTTAGTAGGTGTGACTTCCTTGATATTAAGTATAATAAAACTCATTCAGAGAATAAACCCTGTGAAAATGATCGAAAGAAGAAATCCTACAGTCATAATGAGAATTTTGTTCAACATCAAAAGGATTCATCTTTGGAGCAACTTCTTGAATATAATCATTGTGGGAAAGCCTTTCACAGAAAGACAGCCTTTGTTACACATAAGAGAGCTCACACAGTAGAGAAACCTTCAGAAAGAAATGAATATGGACAAGTCTTTATCCCAAAGTTAAAGCTCAATTCTTGTCCAAGAACCCTTAGGGAAAGAAAGCCACATGAGCCCTATAAAAATGGGAAATCTTCATGCATGAAGTCCAAACATGCACATCAAGAAATTCACACAGGGGAGAAACACTCTGAATGTAATAAATTTGGAAAATTTAGCAAGAAATCAAACTTTACGCAACATCAAAGAATGTACACAGGAAAAAAACCTGTTGAGTGTAATGAAAATCAGAAAGCCTTGAAGAAGTTAGACCATACTCAAAATGAGATGATTCATGCAGGAGAGAAAATCTATGATTGTAAGAAATGTGGGAAATTCTTTCATGAAAAAGCATGCCTTACTCAACATCAGAGAACCCACACAACAGGAAAACCCAGCAAGTGTACTGACAGTGAAAGAGTCTTAAAGAAGGAATCTTGCCTCACACTCAATCAGAGAATTAAAACAAGAGAGAGAAACTGTAAAGATAATAAATGTGAGAAACCTTTCTTGGAGAAGTTGAAACGCACTCAACATCAGAGAAGGCACTCAGAGAAAAAAATCAATGGATGTAATGAAAGTAGGGGTGCCTCAGGTAGGAAGTCACAACTCACACAAAGCCAGAGAGCTAACAAAAAAGAGAGAACCTATGACTGTAATAAATGTGGAGAAAGCTTCCATAAGAAAACAGATCTCACGCAGCATCAGAGCACACACACAGGGAAAAAACCCTATGAATGTAAAGAATGTGAAAAATCCTTCTTTGTGAAGTCCAACTACATTGAACATCAGAGAACTCACACAGGAGAAAAACCATATCAATGTAATGAATGTGGAAAGTCCTTTTGCCAGAAATCAGCCCTCACAGTACATCAGAGAACTCACACGGGAGAGAAACCATATAAATGTAATGAATGTGGGAAAACCTTCTGTGTGAAATCAAACCTTACTCAACATCAAAGGACTCACACAGGTGAGAAACCCTATAAATGCAATGAATGCTGGAGATCTTTCTGTGTGAAATCCAACCTTGTTGTGCATCAGAGAACTCATACAGGAGAAAAACCCTACAGATGTCCTGAGTGTGGGAAGACCTTCTATGAAAAGTCAGCCCTCACGAAACATGAGCGAATTCACACAGGGGAAAAACCCTATGAATGTAATGAATGTAGAAAAAACTTCAGCCAGAGGTCAGCTCTCACCAAACATCAAAGGAAAACACACAAGAAGAAAATTCCCATCAACACCCTCCATGTGCAGAAACCTGCATCTTCAAGCCAAATTTGTTGAACATCAGCAAAATCATAGGGCAGAAACCCTAAGGTGTTAACACATGTAGGAAATATTTGTTCATCGGTTATAATGAATAGGAATTAGAAAATTAACATAGGAGTGAAACCACATGAATGGTTTGAACATGTAAAAGCTTTCAACAAGCATTCAGAGCTGTTGAGGAAAAATTAATTTGAGATACATTAATAAAAGAAGTTCTTGTGCATAAATTGTTTAAGTAGAAGTCATATTTCATATGTAATATCAGACTAATTTTAAAAAGAACAGAAAATGTCATGTTCTTAATAAAATGTGAAACATCCTTTTGTAAAACTATGAATTATTTAAGTCATTGACAATAGTGTTAAATATGTGTGAAGATTTCCTGAAGTATATTGGGCTATACATATAGTTACATAGGATATGAGTGTGCTGTATAACATAAATTATGTGTGTGTTGGATTTGTACATGGGAACCCATCATTGTCTCTGAATCACAACAATCCAATATATTTTATAAGTAAAAATTGAACAGTCACATAACCTGTGGCCCAACAATTCTAATTCTAGATGCATACTATAAAACGGTAGTTCTCAACTGGGCTTCTTAAAGTGTGTTTGGAAATAAGTTGTTTTGATTGCCAACGTGACTGACATGCTATAGGCTCTTGGTAGCTGGGAGGCCAGAGGTGCCAGATTCCCTACAATGTGTCAGTGGAAGGACAGGAAATAGTCTTATCCAGAATACCAGTAGCTTTACCACACACAAAAAAATTGCTCTAGAAACTCTTGCACATTGGCACCCACAAATTTGTACAAGATTAACTGCAACATTGCAATAGTTTTTGTTAAAAAAAATGTTTAAAGAAAATATCCAAATGTTGATTAACAATAAACTAAATTAATAAATGTGGGAATGAATACAGTAGAAATAATATACATCAGTGAAAATGAATGAAACTCTATCAAGTACATTAACATGGTTATATCTTAAAGTGATGTTGAATGAAAAAAGGCAAACTATAGATACTATGTTATTTCATTTATATGAAGTTCAAAAACAAACCAAGAGTACATTGTTCAGTAATACGTATATAATTAGCAAAATTAGGAAAGCAAGCGGATGATTAACACAAAATCTACAATATCAATTACTTTGTGGAGGAAGAATGTGGGTTTATATTTAGGGAGAGAAAATAGAGGTTCATGTTTCTTAAATGGATTATGAATACACATATTTCTTTTATTTATATTATGTATATGCGTACTTATATTTACATGTATATCTGTTAATAGAATACCCTATTTTCAAGAAAAGGCTTAAAATAATTGCATTAGGACATTAACAAAGGTGATGTTCTATAGTAAGAATTATAGTTAAGATTTTTTTACATTCATCTATTTTTCTGTAGTTCAAATCTCTTTAATGACTTTTTTCAAATATCCATATCACAAGTCATTTAGGTCTACCCTTGATTTTATTGATTGTCTTTTTCTGTTTGTTTCCTAGTAGAATTTCTCCTAAATTTTTTTAAATGATAAAGGGAACACTGACCAAGATAGAAAAAGTAAGGAAAGTGGAAAAGAAAATCAAAGTACAGTAAACTATAAACAAGTAAAAATGAAAACGAATCAATAATAAAACCTATCACAACTAATATGAACAAATTGAATTCCTACATCAAAGACAGAGGTAGTTTAACCGTGACTTAGAAAACAAAATCCAACTATGTATGGCTTGTAAAAAAAAAAAAAAAAAAAAGCACCTAAAACCAGGGGACATAGGGAGTTTGAAGTTTAAGGGATGACAAAAACAGATTCAGGGTTTTTAACATTTATCCACTAAAGCATGACAACATAAGGGTAAGTCCTGTGATTACCTTGTTTAACCAAACGTTCATGGAGTTGTAGTCAGGGGATAGGATGGATGTTAAAAGTTGTGGTAGCGTCTGCCAATCGCCCTGCAGTAGCCATGGCCCCCTTCTTCCTTTAATAGTAGAACTCCCTAGTCAATGTTGGCAGGGCATATGGCCACCCAACTATACATTTCCTATCCTACTTTGCTACCAGAAAAAAAAAGAAAAAAATGGCACCTCCCTGCCCATTGTAACTCTTACTTGGATTATTGGGAGAGTATAGACATTTATTTCCAACGGATTTATTGAGAATTTATCCTCCTTTGAATAACAACAAAAACCTGAAGGCCACCAAATATATAATAATAAGGGATTGGCTAAAGGAATTATCACACATCCAAAGGACAGAATATCTTGCTATTCATTAATAATAGAAAGCTCTGCTATAGCAGAGTAGTCTCAGGTGGGGAGACCAAAGCACAGAGGTTAATTTGCTCAAGATCATACACCTAGTAAGACGTAGAGCCAGGATTTGAGTCTAGGTAGTCTGGCCCCAGAGTTCATGCTCCTAACCATTAGCCTCTTCGCTGCTCATCAAAAATTATGGTGTAGGTGAAAATATGTTCATGTTATGTTTCGTTTGTATCTTCAGCTAACATTTCTAACCCTTCAAGGTCTGAGAATCCACAGGAAACTGGAAAGGGCAGGGCAGGGAAGGGGCTTTCCGGCATGTCTGTCTTTTTGATGGTGCTCTCTTCATTGTCATTTCTGGTGAGAAAGTTTTAAAGATACTTTGTTTTGGTTTTATTTGTAATGATGAACAGAACACTGAGAATGGGGCAACTTCTAATCTTGACATTGCCTCTAATCAATTGGTGACCTAGTCTAGCCTAATTTTATTAATCTTTAAATTGAGGCATATTTAGGTAACACTATAATGCTTTTCCATTTTTATTGTTCTGAACTTTGGATGTCAATCTATAGGGCAATCAGCACATCCTTAGAGGCCAAAGGCAAAGATGGATACGGTGTGAGTATAAGGCCAGCTCAGATCTGGAAAGAATGAGTGGAGAGTAAAGAAAGCATGTGTCTGGCCGGGCGTGGTGGCTCACGCCTGTAATCCCAGCACTTTGGGAGGCCGAGGCGGGTGGATCACGAGGTCAAGAGATCGAGACCATCCTGGTCAACGTGGTGAAACCCCGTCTCTACTAAAAAAATACAAAAAATCAGCTGGGCATGGTGGCACGTGCCTGTAATCCCAGCTACTCAG